ATGTTGTAAACGGGCACAACTCATTTACATCAATAGATGAACACAGAAGAAGAAGAAGAAAATATGAGCAAATATCAAACATATTACTACAAAATTACAGAGTTGTAAAACTTAAACATATAAATGTCTAATGGTATAACAAAATAAAAAGAATGCTTATGGAAATGAAAGGGAAACACCACAAACGCACGTGAGGCATTAGGTAATTTGAGATGGAACTCAAGGGGCCAGAGTCTCATTTGAGCAGTTCCCAGTAGCCATGTAGAGCAAATTTCTCTAAAATTATGTGAAGATAGTTAGTTCCTTTAAAGGACGTTACAAAAACAACCCCAGCATTTTTTGGCTGATGTGGTTTTCTTCTAGGCAATTTTACTTTCAGTAGTTTGCCACTGCTGTCTTAACGGCCAGCTCGCAGTACCACTGTCGAAACCAACGCAAGGCAAATTCTTTAAAATAGGATTATTAACGACCTTGTTTAGCGTATCATGACTACGGCTCGCATCGTAAGTCGCTAAAAGATAAATCTAACCAACACACACTTAACAGAACACCCCTGGAGCACACAGAAAATCTGAAATGTACAAAGAGCATTAAACTAATGGTAGTACACCTCAACAACTACAGGTGCCTCTTATTCGAAACACAGGCCGTGCCAGCTTTGTAATAAATGAATCCCGCCTGAGCCGTTCCCATGAATAAGATCTCGGCCCTAACCCACATCATTCTAGTACAGCGCTGGCCACAGAGGTCTCTGAGGCGTACACAAAGTGAACGGCCAAATGTGAGCAAGCAGATGCTAACGCCACATCTAATGCATTACAATCTTAACCCACTGCTTCAACATGATCTACGTAAGTAATTCCTAACAACACAATAACGTTAAAGACAAGATAACTTCGTCAAATATTGTACTGTACAAATCACGGCTACAACTTAAACGAAACACAAGACTAAGAATCAATACACTTCTCAATAACACAGGCTCGAAAAGTACTACAAGCTTGTGCCCGTTCTGAGGCGAGATGAAGCGTACGCCGTAAAAATCATCACTGCCGAGCTAGGCACAAGAGGTCTTATCTCCACTTCCATGTACAATGTGATAAATCAGCTGGGCTTGGGAGGAAACGAGCGCAAACGGTCATTAAAACAACTGGGCGAAGCTGCTGAAAGAGCTTCGGGCTCGCTCTGGACACAACGGAACGGCGTGGGGGATGGGCCTCAGTAGACTGGTCTGAGACTCTAGTAGAAAAAGAAAGTCTTACCCTTTAGAAGCCAAATTGTCCGAAATGTCTGCCAATGTCCCTCTGTCGACTGCCAGACTACAAATGCCAACATTCGACCTTTGGGCCGCCAGGCTTAAATCTAGCCGCTAAGACAACGCCACTTCCAATTACGGAGGAATTCCAATAGTGGTATTTTCACCCGCCTGATGAACCAACCGAAAGCTTGTCACCATGGTCGTAAGGAAGTCGACTGATATAATTTGCTGCCGCATTAACAATATCACTAATTATTACAACCCCTGTTACAAATCACCATATCATTATTAACAATATCACTAATTATTACAACCCCTGTTACAAATCACCATATCGTCTTCTTCCTGTCCGAGAAAATCCGTTAAAGTTCAGCAGGGGAAGATCATGGTCTTGGAGTCATGATCCAGGTCGGTCCACCTTCCGAGATTGAAAAGCAATGGTAATGGCCGAAACAATCGTCGACATGGGATCTTTCTACTGATGATCGGTGGACCCCTGCTATACACGCTTCCCTGTCTAGTTCATCTTATACACTAATATTCTAATAGTCGTTTACACTCTGTGTTGTAAAATCGCACACAATCCCATTACTTAATGTCCCCACAAATGCTCCCCTATATTTCCTAGAGCAGTCTTTTTGTTCTTCTTCAGAGTTCATTCCCTCTACGCTTTACGGGCTGCTGAGTCCAGCTTATCTGTCCCTGTTTTTCTTGTAGTCACTCAGTCTGGTCACACCTTGAGTTTCTATATGGGTCATCTCGTACATACTACGGATCAGCAAAATCATCGGGTTGCCGACCTGGCATCTGACAGGATTTTTTACTAATCAGAAAAAATGTTATGAAATAAACTATGCAATCGACCTAGTGATTCAAAGTTGAACAATGCATTCCATAATGTTTATGTCCACACTTTTTCAAGTTAGGAATACATGTCCTACATAGGCTATATATCGTCATGTAATTTATCGTTGGTTTCTTGATTTTATTCTTAGCAATCTACTGCTTTTTACGGTGTCTATACGGAACTAACGCCCCGATATATGTTTATATTTTACGGTGTCTATACGGAACTAACGCCCCGATATATGTCTATATTCTACGGTGTCTATACGGAACTAACGCCCCGATATATGTCTATATTTTACGGTGTCTATACGGAACTAACGCCCCGATATATGTGTATATTCTAAGGTGTCTATACGGAACTAACGCCCCGATATATGTCTATATTCTACGGTGTCTATACGGAACTAACGCCCCGATATGTCTATATTTTACGGTGTCTATACGGAACTAACGCCCCGATATATGTCTATATTCTACGGTGTCTATACGGAACTAACGCCCCGATATATGTCTATATATTTTACGGTGTCTATACGAAACTAACGCCCCGATATATGTCTATATTCTACGGTGACTCCTGAAATCGCCAGCACTGCGCCTCTCCTTTGCAGTGCGTTGCTACAAGCTTAGCCCGCCAAAAAGACTATTATTCACTTGTCAATTTACTGGACTCATGTATTAGTGTGCCTTAAGTTAGTTGCACATCTGTTAAAGGATACATTAACATACTCCAGGAAACAGTTACAGCTTTCTAGATGGTGCCTCGCTTCAACGCTTTGGAAATTAACACAAGTCTACCGCCAAAACCCTACACATACACACACACAAATATGTATATATACATATATACACACATTTATATATATATATATATATATATATATATATATATATATATATATATATATACACACACACACATATATATATATATATATATATATATATATATATATATATATATATATACACACACACACATAAATATATATATATATATATATATATATATATATATATATATATATATATATATATATATATATATATATATACACGCACGCAAGCATAAATATATATATATATATATATATATATATATATATGTACATATATATATGTGTGTGTGTGTGTGTGTGTGTGTGAATACCTTGGACAGCCAAAAAGAGCAACCAAGAGGTTTTGAAAGAGGCGGGAGCCCGAAGACAACTTATCACAGACATCAGAAGAAGACAGTCATCATTTTTCGGCCATGTTATGAGAAGAGGGAAAATAGAACATGTTGTGACCACTGGAAAGATTTGTGGAAGGAGAGATAGAGGGAGACAACGAGAGAAGATGCTTGACAGTCTTGTTGCATGGCATGGAGGTGTGTCGGCACACGAACTGATACATGCTGCAGGAGATCGTAGATTATGGAGAGGCATGATCGCCCACGCCAGGCGGCAAGGCACCTGATGATGATGATGATGATGATGATGATGATGATGATGATGTGTGTGTGCGTGCGTGTGTTTAGTGTTTAGGCTGCAGACTTAGGATAATCTCCAAAAACATATATATATATATATATATATATATATATATATATATATATATATATATATATATATATATATATTACGCACACACACACTCACGAAACGGACACATACCAATATTTATGCACTGTGTTTGGGTGATTACATTTTTCGAGGCAAAGAGAAATGGTTAGGTAGAAACAGAAAGAGAGAGACTGTTGCCTGTTTGTTAAATGTGATTCGAGGGAGGAATAAGCAATCTATGAATTAAAGACTTCATTTTGCGGAAAGGTAGCATGTTAGATGTGATAAATTATGATTTTTGAAATGAAAGCGTATTTTTTTTAAATTAGCATATTAGGTTATATCAGTCTGCATATTGATTAGCTTTATCACTTGACAACATGAAATGTGTGAGCTTGAGACTATAACACTCCTTATGTGGGTTCAGCGGTTTCATTGGAAGTAGTTGTGGTTGGAAGGGTCGGAAAAAGGGGTTGGGTGGGTTCAAAAATATACCCAATACACTTAACGAAACCTATAGTAAATGCCGACTAATTAAGGTGTCCTGAATTCGGATATGTTACAGTTAAATGAACAGATATCGTAGCCTATTTATACGTTATTTTTTTTTTCGGACAGTTTATTATATTCTCTTTTAGTGGGGTATGTTCTTTTCTTCCTTTTTCTGAATTATTATTAATCAGAAGAGCATAGACCCTCAACAAATAAACACCAACTCGTCCGATCATCTGTTATTTCTTTAAACTCACACTATGTCGGCTCTATCTTTTACTTAGCTCCTTAGTTCACCATTTATTTTCTCTGTCCCCATAAGTCTTTTCCTATTTTGCTTATTCTCTGGAATTTGTTTAGTTTCTTCCCACAGCTCCACATTTTAATTACAAATTAGCTTTTAATTCCATCCCTACTGTACAGTCATTGGTTAAAGTTTTTGCTGCAGATTTAGTGATAATTAAGCTCGAAACATCATTGACACGCTTTTTTTTAAAATTGTACCTAATCTCCCACAACACAGCAAAATGGGCACTAGGAAATTGTCTGGGAGGTAAAGACAGCCATTGTTAGATTGAAAATACTATCTAAAAGTACAAATTGATCAATATAAGTCTTGCACATTTTAACCTTACATCGATCAAAATGATACATTTCCTTTTGCATTATTATTTTCATTTTACATCAAAATTTAAACATTTCACCCTACAATTATAATGTCGCTAATTTACTGATACATTTGTTACCCAATTTTTGTAAATTCATGTCTTCTTTTTCTTCCTTTCACAGAAACACCAAATATCCTGAGAATATTTCACGTAAAAGCCTAACCAGTTATACAGATACCAGCTGGAATG